CTATTTGGAATCAACCCCTTTTCAAGTGCTCCATTTGCTTTCTTTTACATTCATCCAAAATTTCAGTCATGAAATTTTGTTTATCTGAAGTCTTCTCATCAAGAACTAATATAATGCTCCTCTTCATGCAGCTTGACATCCAACATCCACACTCCCCCTCTTCCTAATCTTCAATACTTCTCCCTTCAAACATCTCCTTGTGTTCCCTCTCTCACTTCAAGATTATTCCCACTCATCAACCTTCTTCCCTATCTACTTCTCACAAACCTCCAAACATATTAGAATCCATCAACCTCTGTTGAGCTTGATCTTAACTTCTTAAACTTGTTGAGCTTTCATCTATCAAATCACTCTAGCATCTAATTCTATCTGGCAAGAAAACAATACACACTAAATTGAATCATCAACTCAAGAAAAATCATCTCTTCTCTTTATTGTATCTATGATCTTTCCTGTTTCACTTTCTTTGTTTATACTTTCATGCCTTTCAGCTCCTTTTATCTTGATCATCTATCTCTATTTTTTGCAAAAACTTTTAATTATGTTTTGAATTTTATATTTTCTTGAAGTCTGGTTTTGTTGTGTGGCAATTCATCTCAGAGTTTTAAAACATTCTTCTTTGTGAATATACTTACCCAAATCAACATTGCAACCACTCTGCTGCCCTAAAAATAAAAAGTGTTGAGATGCTTATATTGAGTGTATGCTTCTAACTAGTTGTATATAGCTCAGCATATCCATCATCACATTTTCCTGACTCACTGAATCTAAACCTCATTTATCTTAAGTGATTGCTCCAGTGTCACTAAGTCTGTGAACCTTCAGTCCCACTACCTGAGTTCCCCGCAACAAAAAGAATCAAATTCAGCACAGCACAGAAGCATTCAGCTTTTTTTTCTCCATTTTTTGTTTCTGGCCAAACTTTTGGGGTTCTTCAAAGAAACAACCTTCTCAAATAAATGGTTGAGGTTTGATCTCCAACCAACTGTCATACTGCACATTTGAACCTCATCTCTCTTGAAGACATTCGAAATCATCATAATCAGCATTCTCTACTTGTGCTTTCCCTCAGTCTTGAACATTCCTCAGCAAGCACCACTTCAAACAAACATCTCATGCATATGCTTTGGCCAAAAGCACAAACATGCTTTTCACCCATGCTTAGTTTGAAGACGTTCTCTCAGACACCCTCAGCAATGCGCATCTGCTCTCATTGAGCTATGCACTCATCACATATGCACTCCAAGTTTCATCACTCTCTGGACCAGCTTATACCCAGTCTTCTTTGAAATACGGCTAGACCTTGGCAATCATTTTCAAAGCACTGTCTTGTCTCCCAATCATCATCATGAGTATCTTTCAAAGAAACCTCTTCAGCTTTAAAAACCCTCCCAGTCTTTCCCTCAAAGCGCTCAGACCTCTTCCTGCATCTTGTGTTGTTTCTCTTTCATTCTCTCAACGTTGGGCCAGCTACGCTAACCGTAGCGTAGTGTAGCGAAAAACCGCTACAATTTAGCGTAGCGTTAGCGCTTTTCTCATTTTCCGCGCTAACGCTACGCAAATGGGGAAAAAACTTGCGCTAGCGTTTAGCGTAGCGTTAGCGCGATTCCCCCCATCTGCGCTAACGCTACGCGCGCAGGGCGCAAAAAACGGCCCGCTACGCTGCGCTACAGCAGTTTTTAGCGGTTTTTAGGTGTTTTTTGCCGCTAAAAACGCGGTAGCGTAGCGCCGCCAGAGGGGCGCTATCACTCCACA